CCTCAAAGCCCACCCACTGTGACACACTTCTCCAGCAAGCCACAGCTACTTCATTAAGACCACAGTTCAGGGCCCATCCCACCCACCCCCACCAAACTATCACCCTCCTCTGGTTTGCTCAGGATGTGTTTTATACACTCCAGGACCACCTGCCCAGGGATGGCAGCACCCACAGTAGGCTGAGCTCTGCCACACCAATCATTAATCAAGAACGTTCCCCCAAAGGGTTGCTGACAGAAAAATATTCAGGAGGAAAAATTTCAATTATCGTTCCCTCTTAGATAACTCTAGCTTGTATCAAGTTGTAAAAATAACAAACAAAACAAAAAAAACAAACAAATGAAACAAAAGCAAACAGACAGTGCCCCCCCCAAAAGCTAGGACAAAGGTAACCCCACCCCACTTTCTTGTTTTACAAGTGTCTTGTAGTGTGCCCCACTCTTCAGGAATTTTATATACATATACATATACATATACATATACATATACATATACATATACATATACATATACATATACATATGTATATGTATATATATGTATATATACATATATATATGTATATATTTATATATAAATCAGGGTGGATTGATTAAGAGACCATGTGTGACATTTACATCTATGATATAACAAATTAACTGAGAAATTTTGATTCATTTCTTGTGTAAATCTCAGGCGATCTTCCTAATGGTGGCCAGTGTCTGGGATCCAAGTACCTACCCCCCTCACCCCTTGACTATCGTGGAGGGTTTTTGCTTTGTTTTTTAATCCTTTATTTTCATTTGCAAATGCAAATGGCCCCCTACCCAAAAGCCATGGTGTAGGCAAGTGGGAGAAGAGAATACTATATGAAAAGATAGGATTTTGCCAATACAGTAAGATGATTGTATCTATAACAGACCCAAGGTTTCTATCCTATCCCATCAACCATTCCGGGTGAAAAATATTCATCAAGCAAATTTGGTTCATAGAAATGATGCCTTGGTGCACTGCAGTGCCATCTAAAGCAGTATACAAAGTGCTAAGTGTATTCTATAACAGGATTTAAAAATTATTTTTATTCTTGCACAATTTCACATATGTAGAGACAGACAGACATACACGAAGTACTTTGATCATATTTCCCCTCATGTTCCTCTTCCACCAACTCCTTCTTTCACGTTCATGTCTTCTTCTGGCACTGTATTTAATGAGGGCTGCCTGCACGAGCATGGGGTGATTGAGCAAAGATGGCTTACCTGTGGCTACACCAGTGAGGATTACGACTCCCCTGCCTCCTCTAGCAATCATTAACTGCTCAGAGCTCCCCGTGGAGGCTTGGAACCTTTTGAGCCCCATCCCAATTCATAATGGAATGCTACAAAAGTGTTTTCTTTTAAGTTAATGAGAAACTCGACTAAAAACTAGCCTGAATAATAAAGGTACTGTCTGTTGGTTTATGAGACTAAAAAGCCAAAGGCTTTTAAGTTAATAAGAAGCTCCACTTAAAGCTAGCTTCCATGATGAAGGTAGTGTCGGCTTGTGGGACTAAGAGCCAAAGTTATATCCTTGGCTTCAAGTGATGGTTGATAGTATCACCAAGGGCCCTACCTTCCTTCTCTGTGTCTCCCTTGCTCTCAAGTGGCATTCTGTCTGTTCTAAAATGGCTCCCAGTGTGATACTAACATGCTTTCAGTAGGTCATAGGGCCATATATACCCTGTTCCCAGCATCCTCTAAAAGGGATGCTTCATTTATCCTTAAGGCCATTGACCGGTTCATTATTCTTTTATATTATTTATTTTTTTATGTGCATTGTGTGTGTGAGGGAGTCGGATCCCCTGAAACTGGATGTGAGCTGTCCTCTGGGCACTGGGAATTGAACATGGGTCCTCTGAAAGAACATTCCAGTGCTCTTACTTAACAGCTGAGCCATCTCTCCAGCCCCTGGTTCATTATCCTTACTAGATGTCACCTCTGGAGCCAAGTCTAACCCTAAATGGAAACCAGGAATAGCCATTACTAAAGCTCTCCCTGCTGTTTCTAGCTGTCCATCATAGCTGACTGGCCAGGATAAATTATTCATATTTCATTCAAATTAACACACCCACTTTAAACTTACAAATGCAGATCTGTTGAAAAGATGCATTCTTGCCTCTTGCTCCCCTAGTGTTGTGGCTCTTGGCCTTTCACCTTTTCCTGTACAAGTCACTGTACTTCCTCCTACCCATGCCTGTTAGAATGTTGGTGTCTCAGTGACAGTGACTCACCATACTATCCCTGACTCACAGTGGGAGCTTTGCCGTTGCTCTTGTTTGGAACCTGATGAGCCACATGGTCTTGATGGAACTCACTCGCTTTATAAGGTATTCCGAATGTTTCCTAGGCTACTGTATCTGTGAAAAGCAGCCTAGCAATGGACATGTGATTGCTGATCCCAACCCTGATAGAGGTGGGGATGGAGGGTGGCCAAGGCTCCTGGTACCCTGGATGATAATCTGGTTTTGCTAGACATTAAAATTTGAAAGAAAGATGCTTGCCAAGGCAGGAGCTTTTTGCAATACAACAAGTTCCTGGAGCTAGATTGGAAGTAGAGGCAAAAGAAGGTAAGGAAGTCAAGGAATCCAGTGAAAAGGAAGTATCATCAACGCAGTGGAGCAGCCAGATGCCCACACTACTGTGCTTCGGAAAACATGCACTTAGCATGATTCTCTTTCATGTGAAGGGGCAGTTACATGGGGCATCTGTGTTACTATGCCTCAGGTATTAAACTCTAAGGCATCCGCCTACTCTTGTTTATATAGTTGCTTAGTTCCTGGGAGAAACCAAGGATCTACCTTCTGTCTACCCACCCATCCATTTATTCTTGAGGTATGATCATGCTATGCAGTCAAGGCTGTCTGGAACTATGAATTACTTCAACAGGCTTCAATCTCATGATCCTCCTGCCTCAGCCTCCTGAGTGCTGGGATCACAGACACACACACCCATACTTGACTTTTTAATATTTGTTATTAAAAAGATTTTTCATAAAGACAGTGGACATACCTGGTGGGTTTAATCAATGACTGCATAGTTATCTCTGCCTAAGCTGTTGTGAACTGGTTTCCCTGTTAAGATAAAGTGAACAAGGTCATCTGTTATAGTTTCCTGGGAGTAATGGTCACTAGCACTTGGCGAGCACTTAGCACAGGTCAGCTTCTGGTTTTAGCAGACAGCTTATTTGCCTTGGTTGCTATGGAGTCAGGCAGCTTGTCTACAGTACCACAGCTACAAATGGGCAGGAATGAGTTTGAAGCTAGATCCAGCTTCATAGTGTGGATCTCTGTGCCACATCACTTCCCAGAGACCTTGGGATTTTCAATGGGAAGTTCGATTTAAAAGTTAAAGCTTGTTTTATAATGTGTGTGTACATGTTTGGTGTATGTACACATACATGTACAATGAGTGTGTCCGTGTATGTTGAAGACAGAAGTTGCTATTAAATATCTGTCAATCAGGCTCTACCTTGTTTTTGAGACAGGTCTCTCAGGGAACCTGAAGCTCATAGTTTTGGCTAGAAGAGCTGGGCAGTGAGGTGCAGGGATCGTCCTGTCCCTATCTTCCCATTAGGCATATAGGAGTATGTCATCATGCCTGGCTTCTTATGTAGGTGCTGGGATCTGGACCCAGGTCCCTATACCCATATAGCATTTTTACCAACAGAGCCCCAGCCTGGAACTGTAAATATTTTAATCAGTACTTCAGAGGAGAAGAGGATAGATAATTATTGATATTCCGTTGTAAACAGTGAAATCTTAGTGGTGAATGTACACTATGTGCCTTGGTCCCCAAGAGGCAGCCACTTGAGACTTGTTTTTAACTACCTACTGATCCTGCTCCAGCAAACTAGCTATGGGGTAAAAAAATGGGGGGTAGGGGGTAGGAGAAGGCAGGAGGAATGGAAGTCTGTCCTCAGATGACACTTGCAAGTTATTAATAGAACACAAAACAGAAGAATTTAAACTGTAATGGAAAATGATTCTTTCTTTTACAGAACAGTTCATCATCGATTGCTTAATCCTGTGCATCCATAGAGTGTTTACAGTGAGACTGGGCATAGATATATCTCATCTGTATTAGGCTAAAGTCAGAAGTGTGATTTAAGAGCAGAATCCAAATTGATCATTATTTCAAAATGGGTGTGGGGGCTGGGCATAGCAATGCATGCCTGTAACTCCTGTGCTCAGGAGACAGAAGGATCATGAGTTCAAAGCCAGCCAGTGATGTAGTGAGTTAAAAACCTATGTTATATAATCCTGTCCCTAATTTAGAGAGAGAGAGGGAGAGAGACAGAGAGAGAGAGAGAGAGAGAGAGAGAGAGAGAGAGAGAGAGAAAAACAAGAAGGAGAGGAGAGGAGAGGAGAGGAGAGGAGAGGAGAGGAGAGGAGAGGAGAGGAGAGGAGAGGAGAGGAGAGGAGAGGAGAAAAATACTAGTGTAGGAGGTGAGGTTTCAGGGGATTAAACACAACACAGGTGGTGGACATGAATTCAGAACCCCAGAACCCACCTAAAACCAGGTATAGTTATACACATCTGTAATCCCAACCCTCCTATGGAGAGATGTGAGGTAGAGGCATGAAACTTCCCAGAGGTTCACAGACCAGCTAGCCTAGCCTACACAGTAGCAATGAGACCGTCTCAAAACAGGGTCAAAGGTAAAAACTGACAACCGAGATTGTCCTCTGACCCCACACACATGTCATGGTATGTTTGCTCACACACTCGAACACACACACACACACACTAAATAATAGGAAATGAATGTGAAAAGATAGAATGGTGCAACCTTCAAAGCAGTTTCTCTTCCCTGTACGGACATCTTTGCCCAGGTCAGAACAAAGTCATTCTGTCTACAGCCTTAACAGTCAGCATCATTCACCACTCACTTTCTGACCTGACTGGACGTGGAACCCAGGCATCCATCATCATCATGAGTGAAGACAAGAAGAGTGAAATGTAGAGATTAAACAAAGATATGGGATGCTCACTTTGGCAGCACATATACTATAATTGGAACTAATCAGAGATTAACATGGCCCCTGCACAAGGATCACACACAAATTCGTGAAGCGTTCCATTTTGGTTGTGGTGGCATATGCAGGTAGGATTTGTTGAGGGAAGCCAGCCTGGGCTACATATTTATGGGGTTGGGGATTTAGCTCAGAGGTAGATCACTTGCCTAGCAAGTGCCAGGCCCTGGCTGGGTTCAATCCTCAGCTTTGGGGGAAAAAAAGAAATGGGATACGCACTCCAGTGTCAGAGCTGAAGGCTATGGGCATGCCCCGCATAGAGCAAGTTCCGTGAGGCTTTGAGTCCCAGCTGTGAGAAATACCCTAACTTAGGCTATAGGTCTATAGTGCTGAGATTCACAGAATGGCCTAGAGAGGAGGCAGGCCTCGAAGGGTGCTGACATTGAGACCCACAGAGCAGAAGGGAAAGACTGGGAGAGAAGGACTGAAGCCCAGGCAGAATCATGGTGGCTTGGGGGAGGGAGGGGCAAAGGACATGGCCGAGGGGGTTACTTTCATGGCAGTAAAATGGAGGGAGTGAGAGCTGATTGCTCAGAGCACAGTGGGTTGCCAAGCCAACCAGGAGGGTCTGTGGCCAAAGTAAGCATTCTAGCCCTTTCCAGCCCAGTGCCTCTGGCTTTTAAGTCTCATAAACAGACACCACTTTTATTGTATAAGCTAGTTTTGAGTTGAGCTTCTTATTAAGTGTAAAAAACCGTGTTGTAAGAGGTGTCTAAGGTAGGCTTTTCTGCTATGTTCATGGGACGGCACTTGGACTGTTTCTGCAGCATTGTCTATGAGATGATAAGTTTGCTTACTAAATGGTTTTCCCCAGAATGGCTGATACGGTAAAAAACCCAGCTCTATTACAGATCGGATCATCTTACTATGCTGTCAAAATCATGATGCTATAATAAAGTTTTCTCTTTTAATCCCACTTGCCTACACTATGACTTTTGGGAGGAGCCATACAATAAAAATTAAAAAAAAAAAAAGATAAAGTTGAGAAGGTAGGAAATCTCAGCAAGGAATGATCAGCAAGGGGAAAGAGCTGGCAGGTGTTCAGATCCCAAAAATTAGCACAAATATCTTTAGTCCTTATTGTGTGAAGTTTTAAGCTACCACCTTTTGCTCTGGGACCAGTGACCGAGATACCAGCCCCCATCCATAATCCCTGAATCCTCAGACAAAAGACACACACACACAGTTTGTTCCTTTATAATTTGCCTTCTTGGCCCAGTTGCTGGGCACTGATATCTCCAACCTGGAAAAGTGTTCCCTTACCAATTTATTATCTCCATCTTTCCACCTGCTCTAAACTTCAGTGGCTAGTCCCACCTGGCCCCTGTCAAACATCCTTGGCCACCCGCCCAGCTCCCTCATACACACACCCGGAGACCTCACATGGTTGCTGTGTTCTTCTCCCGCCAAAGCATGCCAGAAACTCCTCTCTCCTTCCTTGTGTCTGCTTTTTCCTCCTGGGATCCAGAAGTCCTGCCTGTACCTTCCGCCTAGCAATTGCCCCCGGTTTTCTTTACTAACAAATCAAGAACCAGTTGGGTAACAGGACCTTAGCATCAGAAATGCTACCTTCAAGTCTTTGTTCATCATCCTACTAATAAAACAAGAACAGTTACCTGTAGGAAACTTGACAACAGAAATCCTGACAAAATCATATATATATATATATATCGATCATCTTGGCTAACTCCTTGGCAGTTTGAGAGTGATAAGCACTCCTAGCTTGTTAGATCCACCAGTACCCCACATGGGACTGGGATTGGTACCCATGGCAACACAGTACACAGCAAGCAGAACTTCCCCCACCCCCCAACACACACCCAATCCACATGTCACACTGCCCTTGGGAGTTGAAGTCTGTGTTTGGAGAATTGGTTTTGTTCATAAATTATTGTCACCAGTTGAACTTGTTGGCAATTAGTTGTTTTAATTAAACATTTTATAAACCATACAAGTGCAACAACTACAGTAAATTTTCTTGAGAATACATTGGAGTTTTGAAAAGACTATAAAGATCAGACATAGTGTGGGTATTTCACTTCACAGTAAGATTGGAATGAGAGTAGTCATAGAAGACTGGAAGGCGCCTACATCAGACTACACTACCCTACCTTTTAGACTTCTCTGTGCTCTTTGGAAAGATCAATTGGAAACTGTAGTCAGTGCTTTCTGTATATAGAATAGAACCCCACTAGCTAAAAGGGGGAGGGTGGACAGGACGCTCATCAAATTCTGTGTGTGTCTGCATCTGTGTGTGTCTGCATCTGTGTGTGTCTCTGTGTGTGTATGCATATTATGTATGTATATGTGTATATTAACAATAATCAAACAGAGGCTATCTGGTGTCTGTGTGTTTGTGTCTGTGTGTATCTATTTGTATGTCTGTATGTATTTATGTACATGTGTATATTAACAACAATCAAACAGAGGCTATCAAGGGTGTGTGTGTGTGTGTGTGTGTGTGTGTGTGCTTGTATGTGTATGCGCATGTGGGCATGTGGAAGGGCCAGAACTTTTGAGGCAGAATCTTTCGCTGGCCTGGAGGCCACAGAATAGGCGAGGGCTGTCTGACCATCAGGTTCTGGATTCTGCCTGTCCCTGCCTCCCAGTATTGCAAACACATGTCAACAGGGCCAGCACTGTTATATGAATTCTGGGACTCTAACTCGATTTCTCATGCTTGTATGGCCAGCCATCACCTAAGTCCTCAAGTTGTTTTAGCCAGTTTGTTCATCTTGGAACAATTTGCCATGTTCATGAAGTACCCTTAGCTTCTCTCAAGCCTTGTCAGCTAGATTGCTTTTTTCTACTCTGTTCCAAGGCTGCAGATGTGAGATATATGTGTTAGATTCGAGAAATTGTTAACAGATGTTGCTGTTGTGTCTCCCATCCTGATAGTAAGAATGTAATGGGCTGGCTTGTGGGTTCTTTTTGTTGTTCTTGTTTCCAGGGCGCCTTTCCCCCTCACCCTTGAATCTAAGGCTTTGTAATAATTACTTGTGGTTAAATGAATTTTATGGCATCAATCAGAAACCTCTAGACATGCCTTAGGTGGATGGGTGTAAGTGAAGTTACAACTGAAAGCCAGCTGGGTACATGAGACAGCCCACACAGGTAGGAGACCAGAGGGTGATGGAAGTGTTTTAATGCTTATTAAAGTCGTCAGAAGTGTTCTAATGCTTATTAAAGATGATCAGTCACAAAAGAATATGGTTCACATTTTGAATTTTCACATTATTTTGTGTTATCAAAATAAATGAACAATGTCTTCCCCAAAGAAGAAATTAGACCTCTTAGGACGTGAAGACGAAGCCAGCTCTGCAGAAGGCAAGTCCACTCTGAGGGTGTGAACAGGAGACCAGACTTGGGCTAGACAGAAGCTAGTTCTTAGCTGGGCAGGACACAGGAAGATGGCTCTGTGTTCTATCCCTTGCTGTTCATGGTCAAGCGTGTGTGTGTTCACCTCCATCGCACATTTGGAGTGAATGTACAGCTCACATGATCACACTCTTCAGAAATTGGCTGGCTGCCATCCTTTCCATTTTTGATGCTCCTTTTTGAAGTGGCCTGTATCCCATGTGGACTTTTCCAATGATGTATTCTTGGTAGCACAGAAAGGGGGAGCACTCTTTTAAACTGTGCTGTGTAAGCTTTCTTTCTTCCTTCCTTCCTTCCTTCCTTCCTTCCTTCCTTCCTTCCTTTCTTTCTTTCTTTCTTTCTTTCTTTCTTTCTTTTTTTAATTGTTGAAAGTAGATTATATACTACATAACACTGGAATCCTAACATAATGGTCTTTTCTTCCAACTATTTAAGTGTAATCATAACAGGGAGGTTATGGTTCCTCTGACTGGGATAGTCTGATTCAGAACATATATACACTGGGCTATTTTAGCCTGATGCCATTCAAATGCTTTTGAATTCGCTGTCCTTCTCTTAATTCAGTATGGCACAGAATATAAGTATATTTCTTATAATGAACTGGCTTCTTGGGTAGATCTGTTTCCCAGTAGAACATTCTCGTCATCTGATAGTATTATGGTCTTTTAAAGGAGATAAGTTTTACCTGCAAATGGAGACGTTGATATTTTGCTTTTATTCCCCAGTCACTGACAGCTGACTGACAGAGGTAAGGATCCTGGGGCCAATCTCTATGAAGACAGACACTGATGTGGATTTAACACTCAGAGAGGTCATGTGGTAGCCGTCTTCCTTTCTGTGTGCAGCCATTTTTCACACTTGCTGTTTGAAACATGAATAGTTACTGTGTAATGGTTCGGGGAAGAGTGGCCAGTAGTACCAACTGGTGATTGATGTGCTTGAGTGCCTGTAATGTCCTGTAATGTCCTGATGAAAGTAACTTGACCACCTTCAGCAGAGTCTCTACCTGGAGCCAGCTAGTTGAAGAGTTAAGCTGTTTCCTTTAACTCCACAGACTGAATTTAGCATGGATGGAGTGTGGTGGAAATGAATTAAAATAAAACCACCTTTTAAAATGTGTTTAAGATGAATAGGACTGGTTTGAATGTTGGAGAGCGTTCTGGAAAAGAAAACCTGGTAGAGAATCAAATGGAAGTCCCTTGGCGGCCGACTCTGCCTCCAGCTGCCTTCATTTATTGAACAGCTGTCAAAGAAAGCAAAGCATTATTTGTGCATTAGAACAATTTCAGAAAGCTGTTTTTAACTCCCAGTGGTGGGTTTTTTTTATCAGCCTTCTAATCTCTGCAAAGGTTTTCAAAACTGTAATGACCCGTGCTTGTGTCAGGCATGAGGTTACCGCACAGTACCACATGACACAGTTAGTCACCTGTGCGAGGAATTATGACCATTAGAATTTTATTTCCTGCGGAATTTTGTGCTGTGTCACATAATCACATATAGCTGGTTTGGCCCAAACTCAGCAACAGTATCTACTATTTATTTCTCAGAGACATGACAAATGTACAAAACAGGAAACCGTGCTGGATGTAACTCATGCATAACAAAGGGCTCAGAAAGAACTACAGGGTGAATTTCTGTCCTGGACATTGCATCTTATAGTTGGGTTGTGCGGATGC